ATTCCTGCTCTGTGGCTCGGGCGAACGAGTGGAATGCCGGAATCTGTTCACACGGCCGGGTGAGGCCTACGCGAGGCAGCCCAGCCTCGGCTTTCTCACAGCCGCAGGGAGATGCGATAACGGGTCCTGGCTCAAGGGAAAACAAGGAGGGCCGTGACTGCTGGGAATCGCTTTGTGGGGACACAGGAAAGCCAAACTCCATAAACAAGTGCTGACCCTGCCCCCAAGATAGATTCTCTGTAGTTAAAATCTGTTATTCCTTCATTTAATGTCAGAAACTCGCCCCTGTCCCCCGCAAGCTACTTCCAAGGCATTGTCACGGAGACTGGTATTTTATTAACTCAGAAGGGGGGTTGGGGGTGGTATAGAATAAAAAAATCACCAGTTAATGACACTAAATAATACCTGTGTACCATGAAGAGAGTTGTATTTCTCTGCTGCAATATATAAGCTCGTTTACAATAAGAGTTTTTGCAGTTGAGGCTTTTGTTACTACAGTAAGAGAGAAAAAACTATTAAATTTCAAGTTTTGCTATTGGATGCTCACTGCAACTAGCTTCTGGTGTGAAGGCTTGTTTTCCAGATCAACTAAAGGAATACGTAGCCTCTTGAGTAAGTGTGTTACTTTGTGCTTCCTCTAAGCCAAAATTACTGGAAAATTGTTGCAACGTGTTTGCCAACACACTGTATTAAGTTTTCAGTAATTGAGATATTATTGATATTAGGCTGGATTAACTACTTGATGAGAGAAAAAGTACTGATCCTTGCCAGAAAAAAATGCAAAGTATTTATAAGTAACCGAAGCAAGTGTGAAATCTTTTTTTTTTTTAAAGAATGAAGCAAGCACAACAATATAATGGTGTGCCATACAAAGTCACTATACAGGTGCTCCAGACAGCTGCGGCCATCTTGATAGTGCAGAAGGACCCAGAAATTTTAAACTGCTTTTGTTCCACTATATAAAGCTGGAACATGCAACTATAATAATAATAATAATAATATTAGTTTAATAATTTTATTTGGTTTTGGTTTTTTCGAATAGCAGAGCTTAGGAAACATTGCATGAGAAGAGCTGGACTAGCTATGACAGGTTTAAGTCTCACATTCAAGCACATGGTAGAAGAGCCTCAATATTTTTCCAGACTTCCCCACACGCATATCAAGTACTTTAATTGCACTGCATTTTGCTAATTTAAGAAAAGAATCATGTCTTGGCGAGAACAGAAGGAGGGCTTCTTGCAAAACAACAACAAAATATTAGCTTTGCTCTATAATTCAACATAAATTTTACTGAAACAGATAACGGAGATGCCGACGAGTAAAAATCTACAATAAAGGTATTTATTGTATGATCCACGAGGAAGCAAAGATGGTATTCAACTGTTACAATGTAATTATCTTAGCATAAGCTTCCTTCCACAAGATCCAACAGAGAAACATGAAATGTGTGAGCTTTAAGCCTGCTGAGTCCCCACAGCACGAAATCAAGAGACCTCCTCGCCGAGGCTTGTTCCAGCCCAGCTGCACACAGCTTCTCTCACACAAACTTCCACCGGCTCCAGGTACTGGTCAGCAGCAGCCCTGGAAACCAGAAACTCTGAACTAATAAACACAGATTACAGCTACCAGAGAGGAAGTGACCACCCCCAACTGTCCTCCTCCCCACGAAAGATTCTGTTTTTTACACCCGACTCGGAAAGGACGTGTTGCTAATGGTTAAAAGAGCACAATCGGCATTTTTTGTGCTCCAATTCAGTGGGTGGGGTGAAAAAGCCAAGACTTCTAATATTAGTGATTTGGGCTCCTTACCAGCTCTGGCAAAACTGTAGAGAACTCGATCATGTTCATTGTCACGTCAGGAAATAATATTTTTCTGCCTTAAAGCGAGTAAGTAGGATGACCTCATATGTAATAAGTGTTATGAGTGCAAAAAAGTGTCAGTTCATTCAAAACATTTTCAGTGTTGGGTTCCTTGTAATATTACACAAAAAGGAAATGGTTGTTGCTATCGATGCTACTATGTATCATGTTAACAGCTCTATTTTTGCACTTACTATTGGAGCCGGCCAAACAGGATTTTTGTTGGTGTTTCATCCCAAATCATGAGGAAAAACATTTTCCAAGTTGACTGAGATTGAAAGGAAAAGTGATTTCCCTTGGGAAGTGCAAAACTTGCACTTAAAAATCTGTTGCAGTCAGAGCATGGAAAAGCTGTGAAGCACCCCAAATCTGCAGTAAATACTTCTTGAAAAATTCTAATTTTATTAAAAAATCTACTTAGTCCTCAAGCCTGAAGTAAGAGAAAGGCTCCACTAGTACTGGTTACCACTGCCCTGGCAAGCATGTACACAATGGGTCTTCCAGAGATAACCAGTTAAAGTTTCCAGATGCGCTAGAGAGCTGCCAGGCAATAGCAGAGAGGGACTCACACCACTTGTCCCCAGTTCCAAGGGCTCCTCACCCACAAATGCAGTCACCAGGCGCTCACACAGCTCTGCGAAGGAAAGACAGGACTAAGCATCACTCTGTCATCCTTGATGCAAGTCACAGTAGGATCACTGAAGCAAAAGATTATCAAGTTTCAATCGCAACAACGAAATGCAAAAGCCAGTACCAAAGCG